TAACATCCATTGGACAGTTGGGAAGGGAAGATGGTTGTAAACTGGGGGTAAGAAGGATAAGCTTGAGCCCATGAAGACAGATCTGTGACAGTTCTCATTGTCTCCAGTTCTATTCCAGGCTTTTTATAGGTACTTTTTATCAGATTGTCGGAGAAGCTGACAACCCTTTGTCATGGACCAAACACACAATTGGCCCAGTATTCCAAGAAGCTGCAGGAGGATGCATGAGAAGGTGGGACAGTTTTAGGCCTAGTTGCTGCCCTTCTAACAAGGTGAGCCATCAGATAAGTAGCAACGTGTATAAGCAACATGAGCATCGGCTCCAGCCTTCTGAGCTTAAAAATCAAATGGCTGTTGCTTGCTTCTACCTACCAGTCTTGTGCAGGAATGATTGGTGATTCATCCTAGCAGGAAACATAGGGAAAGAATCCAAGAAACGTAGTTCAGTATGAGTTGACGCATGTCAAAGCCACTACACTGACTGTCCCTTGGTTATTGCAAGGTTCATGGTAGGGCGGGTAGGGGGTTTCCTGCCCTACCCTCAAGTGTAGGCAGTTTACGCTCTTATCCTGTGCCTGACGTGGATGTGAGGTTCTCCAGCCTCTCAGAGGTTGTGGACCTTTGCTGAGGCCCTCTTTGGGAAGAGTTCCCCAGTGGCTGAAGCCTTTTGCTTCCCATGAGAGAAGGGCCTTGAAAGTGAATGGAATCACTCACAAAGTGAAATGAATTTCCATGCCTACCAGATAAGAACTCTCTCAGGTCTCCTGCCCTTTTACTTTAGAGTTTCTTATGGTATTTGGTGGGAGCTCATGGAAAAGAGCTGGTGATTCAAAGCCGACTGCCGCTCTAGGATCCAGAGATTCAAAACTGCCTCTCTAGCCCAGAATTTGCCTTTAAGCATTTGCTTGAGTTTTCACTGTTTTCTTTTTACACACTTTGATGGCAGTCACCTCTTTGTCCTTTGCTGTGTCAAAGGTGAAACAGTTCTCTGTTTTGTCCCTTACAATAAAGATGATGTCTCCCTTCAGGACAAAGGTTGGGCAGGTTTGCTTGAAACATAAGATTTGGGTCCCTCGGTTAAGGGTTCCTGAACTGTGATTCAGATCCACTGTGTGTATCGTATGCACACTGGCTGCCCTGCATTGCCCTGTGGGAACCAGCGTGAACCTGAAGCTCATACTGCTTAACAAGTGCAGTCCGTTGCCTCTGACTTAGAGTCGGGTTTTCTGCCAGCATCCACGAAATGAAGGCAGGTACCCTGTTAGTTGGTAGCAGGTCATACTCTTCACAGCTCTTGATCACAGGTATGGGTTTATTTTAATTTGAGGGGGGGGGCTCAGTTCACAGTTCTTATTTTATGGTGGTATATTTCTTGATAGTGCATTTAATAAAAGAGTAGAAGAAGTTCACATAAGGTTGTTCTGGAAGCACATTTTATTTGATGTGTGGATGATGCAATAATTTTGATCTCCAAATTCACATACAAAAATATTCTTCAGGAACCATCAATTTAATGTGTCATGTCTCAGTGTATGTTTTCATGTGAAAGTTTTATATATGAGTTCTTGCTGGAAGAACTCACTTTGTATTCTATTCTCTTATGTCCCATCACCATTTTCTCTGGACAGAAATGACTACTGCTGTGTTCTCAAACCCAGGTTTAAAAATTTGGGAAAAAATGTTTTTAGTACTTTGTTTTAGCATTTTAATGAATTTTTAAAATTGCTGTCATGTTACTTGAATACTTTTTAAATTGAAGTATAGTTGACATACAGTATTTTATTGATTTCAAGGGTACAACATGATTGGACAATTGTATACATTACAAAATGCTCACCATGGTAAGTGTAGTTACCATCTGCTACCATACAAAGCAGTTACAGTGTCATGAACAATCCCTATGCAGTACTTTAATCCCCATGACTAATTGTTATAATTGGAGTTTTGTTCCCTTTCACTTATCTTGTCCATCCCCCATTTCCCTTCCCTGTGGCAACCACCCATTTGTTTTCTGTATTTATGAGTCTACTTCTTTTGTGTTGGTTGGTTTTAGTTTGTAGGTTCCATTTGTAAATGAAATCATAGAGGATTTACCTTTCTCTGTCTTGTTTCACTTAGCAGAATACTTTGTAGGTTCATCCATGTTTTCATGAATGGCAAGATTTCAGTCTTTTTTATGGTTGAAAACTTTGTATGTATATCACACTGTGTATATATTACATCTTCTTTATCCATTCATGGACACTTAGGTTGCGTCCATGTCTTGGCTATTGTAAATAATGCAGCAGTAAACATAGGGGTACATATGTTTTTTCAAATTAGTGTCTTTGTTTTCTTCAGGTAAATTCCCTGAAGTTGGAATTTTTAGATCGTATGGTATTTCTGTGTCTGGTTTTTTGAGGAACCTCCATACTGCCTTCCAGGGTGGCCACACTATTTTACATTCCCACCAACAGTGTAGGTGGATTCCCTTTTCTCCATATCTTTTCTAATACTTGTTATTTTTGTCTTTTTGATACTTGTCATTCTCACTGGCATAAGGTGATAATTCATTGTGGTTTTCATTTGCACTTGCTGGTGATTAGTGGCATTGAACATCTTTTCATGTGTGTTTTGGCCATCTGTATGTCTTCTTTGGAAATATGTCTGTTCAGGTTCTCTGCCCATTTTTAATCAGATTGTTTGTTTTTTGGTGTTGGATTGTATGAGTTCTTCACATAGTTTGGATATTGACTCTTTGTTGGATGTATCATTTTTAAAAACCTCCCATGCAGGTTGACTTTTCATTTTTTCACTGGTTTGTTTCTTTTGCTGTGCAGAAGCTTTTGTTTAGTTTGATGCAGTCCTGTTTGTTTATTTTTGCTTCTGTTTTCCTTGCCTGGACAGACATACCGAGAAAAAAACTGCTAATGCTGATGTTCAAGAATTTATTGCCCATATTTACTTTTAGGAGTTTATGGATGCAGGTCTTATATTTCAGTCTTTAATCAATTTTGATCTTATTTTTGTTGTTATGGTCAGACAGTGGTCCAGTTTCATTCTCGGGCATGTATAGCTGTCTGGCTTTCTTAGCCCCACTATTGAAGAGTCTGCTCCCCGTTCTGTATTCTTGCCTCCTTTGTTGTAGGTTGATTGGCCTTATAAGCAAGGGTTTATTTCTGGGCTCTCCGCCATGTCCCATTAATTTGTATGTCTGTATTTTTGCCATTACTATTCTGTTTTGCTTATTGTAGCTTTGTGTAGTATTAGTTTGAAATTAGGGAGCATCTTATCTCCAGCTTTGTTCTTTCTTAAGAAAGCTTTGGCTATTCAGGGTCTTTTATAGTTCCATACAAATTTTAGAATTATTTGTTCTAGTTCTGTGAAAAATGCCATTGGTATTTTGATAGGGTTTTCAATCAGTCTGTATATTGCTTGGGGCAGTATAGCCATTTTAATAATATTAATTTTCCCTATCTATGAGCATGGTATGTCTTTCTGTTTATTTGTGTCATCTTCAATTTCATCAGTATCTTACAGTTTTCAGAGTACAAGTCTTTCACCTCCTTGGTTAAACATACTCATAGGTATTTTATTCTTTTTGATGGAATTGTAAATAGGATTTTCTTAATTTCTCTTTCTGCTGGTTCATTATTAGTTCATATAGAAACGACAGATTTTTGTATGTTGATTTTGTATCCTACAACTTCACTGAATTCATTTTTAGTTCAATAGTTTTTGGTGGAACCTAGGGTTCTCTATATACAGAATAATTTATTTCTTAACCCTTAATTTATATCTCTATATACAGAATAATTTATTTCTTAACCCTTAATTTATAACTCAGTAGGATTCCAAGCCTACTGTTGGTGAAAAGGAAAAAAATCTTTTTATGTTTACTATAGTCAGCATCTTTTTAAAACTCAAAATAAGATTTGAAAACTTACTTATATAAAGTACAACCTAGTTCATGAAAATATGGAATTTCTGTAAGTTGTTTTATTCCAATAAATTTAGGAAACAAGAGCATTGCTACCACCCCCCCGCCCCACCCCCCAAAATTCAACCCGTAGCCCTATTATCAGTTATAAGCGAAGAGAAAAAAAGAACATTTGGCTTCAAGAAGAGCTTGATCTTTATGTTGAATGGCAAGAAAACATAGTAGAAAAACCTGTCCCTTGTGACAGTATTCCAAGAGCATAGTCAAATTTAATATTTGAGATCTCATCAGCCTGATTACTTTGATAATTATCATTCTTTGTCATATATGCAGCTTGCTTTCATTACAGCTTCTGAATAAACATGAAGCTTTTTGGTTCATCTTTGGTAAAGATGGTTCATTTCTTAAGAGAAAACATTTCTCTTTTAAAGAAGGGTTTATTTTTGCAGTATTTTAATTGTTTTGCTATTGATGGACATTTAGACTGGTTTTATATTTTTGCTGCCACATTTCATCATTGTAAAATGAACTTTTTGAAAGTGAGATGTGTTTAAAAATGGGTGGCACCCTACACAACACCGTTTGCCACCCTGTTCAAAATTGAAAACCCTATCCCTCACCTCTAGTCCTCTCTTACCCTTTCTCTACTTTATATTTCTAAGCTTTCACCAAGTGATGTATTGTTTATGGTCTTTCAATGACCTCACTAGAGTGCGAGGATCCTTTTCTGTGTTTTTTTTACCATCTTATTCCTAGCTCCTAGAATACCACCTGGAATGGAGTGAATACTCTGTGTATTTGCTGAATGAATGGATGAATGAAGGGAACATTTGAGTGTTTACTGTGGTCCCGACACTGCTAAAGTCGTTTGTATCCTTGACTCGCTTAATCCTTACAGTAACCACAGGAGGTAAGTAGGGACTCTGAGGAAACCAGGACAGTTTGCCCAATATCACTCAGGTAATAGGCAGAGGAATTGAAGTTAGAGCTTGAATCTACCTCACGCCAGGTCCTGGACTCTTTAACTTTTACGTCACCCTTTGCACAGCAATAAATGAGTTCTTTCTTTCCTTTGAAACAGGAAGAAGAGAATTTATCCAAAGATTAAAACTTGAAGCAACCCTGAATGTGCATGATGGCTGTGTAAGTAGTGGTTAATTCTCAATTTTGATCCTATGTGTTTAATCCTCAGGGTTCAAACATATGATGAAATGCCCCAAATCTCCGAGAAGAGATTGTAACTAACTATAATAAAATGAGAATAAAGTTTTATGTTAAAACATTTTGAATTTAGTGAAGTATGTGTGAGTTTTTTTACAGTGCAGATGGGGTTTTTTTTTAAAGTTATCATTGATACACAATCTTCTGCACAGATTTCATATGAGCAACATTGTGCAGATGGGTTTCTAATATGACCCTTGACTTCCAACTTTTTCACTGTATTGAAACTGCTTTTGTGAAGGTCACTAGTGGCCTTCATATCTCCTGACCTAACGATCATGTCTTAGAAACTTTAGACAGTGGTTGAGTATATCTCCTATTTGGTAGTATCTTTTCTCTTGGTTTCTTTCTCTCTCATGGACTCCCTTCTATTACCGCCTTCTTAGCTGACACCTCTACTTCTTGACTTCCAAATGTTGGTTGTATTAAGACTCTGTCCTGGCTCCTCCCACCCTCTTATTTCTTCACTTTTCTAAGTAATCCTATCTAGTCCTATGGCTAGAAAACATGACTTCCACCTCTCCACTCCTTCCCAGAACTCCAGGTTCATGTGTCCAGCTCTCTGCTTACCATTCCCACTTGCATACCTAATAGGCACCCAAGATTTAACAGGGCCCCAACCAGACCCGTTTCTTTTTAGCTTTTATCATGAAAATTTCAAACATATTTTTCTTCTATTCATTACCTGGATTTAACAGTTACCAAGATTTTGGTACATTTTCTTTTTCTGTTTCATTTTTGTTTTTTCTTTCTTGCTGAAGTATTTTAAAGTAAATTTCAGATAGTATGTCATTTTACCCTTTTATGTAGTCTAAACACCATGGACATTTTCTTGTATAATCAAAATGCCATTATATAATTTAACAAGATTGACAATATCATCTAATACACAGTCTGTAGTCAAATTCCCTCATTGTTTAAAAATGTCTGTTTATATTTGTTGGTTCAGAAGAGGATCCAGGTCAAGTCTATACCCTGATTGCTGTGCCTCATAAGTCTCTATTATTCTAGAGCAGTCTTCTCCTTTTTTTGTCCCTGTTGTTGACCTACTGTAGAAGCCAAGTCAGTTTCCCTATAGAATGTTTCACATTCCAGATGTGGATTAGTTTCTTGGGTATCCTATTTTTTTCCATCTTTATTGAGACATAATTTACATGTAGCATTGTATAAGTTTAAGGTCTACAATGTGTTGATTTGTTACGTGTACAACATATTCAAAATGATTCCCATGATAAGGTTAGTTAACATGTTGGTCACCTCGTGTAATTATCATTTTCTTGTGCTGGTGGTGAGAATCTGACAATTTACTCTCTTAGCATCTTTCAAGTATGCAGTACAGTATTGTTAACTATAACCACCATGGTGTACATGAGATCACCAGAGCTATTCATCTTATCACTGGAAATTTGTAATTTTTGAACATCCCCCAGTCTCCAGCAATTACCAATCTACTCTCTGTTTCTATGAGTTTGACATTTTTATTTTGTTTATTTTTAATTTTAATTTTTTTATTGAAGTATAGTTGATAATATCAATTCCAGCCATCTTATTTCTTCTGATTGGAGCACTTAGTCCATTTACATTTAGAGTAATTAGTAATAGATAGGTACTTACTGCTATTTTGTTGTTTCCTGGTTATATTTGTAGTTCTTCTCTGTTACTTTGTCTCTTGCTCTCTTCCCTTGTGATATGATGATTTTCTATAATGTTATGCTTAAATCCCTTTCTCTTTATTTTTTGTGTATCTATTATAGGCTTTTGGTTTGTAGTTATTGTAAGGTTCATACATAGTTTTCTGTATGTATAACAGTGTAAGTTAGGTTCATAGTTGCTTAATTTTGAACACATTCTAGAAGTCCTACTTTTTTATTATTATACCCCCTTCCACATTATAGGTATGTAGATCATAATTTGCATTTTTTCAGATTTTTATTTTGTGTATCCTTTGACTAATACTATGTATAATTGATTTTACTACTTTTGTGGGCAGGTCTGCAGAGGAATGCTGGGGCTGAGCAAGCAGGGTAGGTGGGGCTTCAGAGCCGCCTCCACAATCATCAGGCCAGTTGGGCTGCGGGCGGGCTGGAAAAGTGGGGCACCTGCCAGCGCTTTCTCCTCCAGAGACAGCTCCCACAGACCCCTACCTCCTGCACACTTCCCAAGGCTAGCGCATCTTAGAAACCGCTGCCTCTGTGTCAGGTTTCAGAGGGGCTGACAGAGCACCCTGGTCCTCCACAGCAGTGCGCCCAATCTCACTGGTATCCAGACTTACCAGTCCTCAAAGCCCAGTGCTATCAAGGCTCATCTTCCCAGAGCAGATCCCCAGGCCCAGGAGGGCCCTGTTCTAGGCGTTTGTCTGCTCCCCACTTAGTTTCTCTCTGCCTCCGGCCTGTGGATCGGGATGGGGGAAGGGTGGGATCCTGACTGATGGTGGTTCTGTGCTTTTACTATTATAGGCTTTTGGTTTGTAGTTATTGTAAGGTTCATACATAGTTTTCTGTATGTATAACAGTGTAAGTTAGGTTCATAGTTGCTTAATTTTGAACACATTCTAGAAGTCCTACTTTTTTATTATTATACCCCCTTCCACATTATAGGTATGTAGATCATAATTTGCATTTTTTCAGATTTTTATTTTGTGTATCCTTTGACTAATACTATGTATAATTGATTTTACTACTTTTGTGGGCAGGTCTGCAGAGGAATGCTGGGGCTGAGCAAGCAGGGTAGGTGGGGCTTCAGAGCCGCCTCCACAATCATCAGGCCAGTTGGGCTGCGGGCGGGCTGGAAAAGTGGGGCACCTGCCAGCGCTTTCTCCTCCAGAGACAGCTCCCACAGACCCCTACCTCCTGCACACTTCCCAAGGCTAGCGCATCTTAGAAACCGCTGCCTCTGTGTCAGGTTTCAGAGGGGCTGACAGAGCACCCTGGTCCTCCACAGCAGTGCGCCCAATCTCACTGGTATCCAGACTTACCAGTCCTCAAAGCCCAGTGCTATCAAGGCTCATCTTCCCAGAGCAGATCCCCAGGCCCAGGAGGGCCCTGTTCTAGGCGTTTGTCTGCTCCCCACTTAGTTTCTCTCTGCCTCCGGCCTGTGGATCGGGATGGGGGAAGGGTGGGATCCTGACTGATGGTGGTTCTGTGCTTTTACTCTTCTCAAAATGGCCTTCTCTTTTTTTTGCGAGGTGTAGCAGGTTTGTTCTGCAGCCTTCAGGCTGTTTTCAGAGTTAGTTGTGTTAGATGTAGTTGCTTCCTTGGTGTGTATGTGGGAGGAGACTGTCACAGTGACCTCTATTCTACCATTTTCCTCCCCCTTTTTCCCAATTGGACATTTTTAGATTCCTCAAATAAGTGATACTTTAGAGTATTTGTCATTCTCTGGTCCTCCGTTCATCCATGTTGTTGCAAATGGCAGGATTTCCTCATTTGTTTGTGGCTGAGTAATATTATATGAGCCGCATTTTCTTTGTCCCTTCATCACGAACACTTAGGTTCTTTCCCTGCTTGACTATTGCGAATAATGGCGCAGTGAACATGGAAGTGCAGGTAGCTTTTCAAGGTAGTGATTTCATTTCCTTCAGATATTTACCCAAAAAATGGGATTGCTGGATCCTATGATATTTTATTTTTAATTTTTTGAAGAACCTCCACACTATTTCCATAGTAGCCGTACCAGTTTACATTCCCACCAACAGTGCACAAGAGTTCCCCATTCTCCACATCCTTACCAGCACTTATTATTGCTTGTCTTCTTCGTATTTATTTGTTGATGTATAATTGTTCATAATATTTGTCTTACCTTTTATCATTTTATGTTATCAATTGTAATATCTTCTCTTTCATTTAAAATTCTGATCTTCTCTTTTTTCCTTGGTGAGTCTAAAGGTTTGTCAGTTTTGTTTTATCTTTTCAAAAAACCCAACTCTTAGTTCTGTTGATCTTTTCTATTGTTTTCCTACTTATAATTTCTGCTTTGATCTTTGTTATCTCTTTCCTTTTGCTAACTTTGGAATGAGTTTGTTTTTGTAGGTCTTGACATATAAAGTCATGTTATTTATTTACAATCTCCTTTTTTAAAAATACTGGTTTCTATTGCTATAAAATTGCCACTTAGAACTGCTTTTGCTGCATCCCATATGTTTGTTTGCATTTTCACTTGTCTCAAGGTATTTTTTGGTTTTTAACTCATTATTTGTCTGGGAGTGATTTGTCTAAGAGTTGTTTGATATATCCACTCATTGATGAAATTTCCAGTTTTCTTCCTGTTACTGATTTTTGGTTTCATGACATTATCGTCAGAAAAGAACTTGGTGTGATTTAATTCCTTTTAAATTTTCTAATACTTGTTTTTGCTCTATCATGATTTGTCCTGGGACATGTTCTCTGTGCATGTGAAGAATGTGCTGCTGCTGTTGGACAGAATGTTCTGTGTATGTCTGTTAAATCCATTTCATCTAAAGTATAGTTCCAGTCTCATGTTTCTTCACTGATTATCTGTATGATTTATCCATTGTTGAAACTGGGGTATTGATGTCCTCTCCTATTGTGTTGTTTCTTTCTCTTCTCAGGTTTGATGTGCTCATTCTTTTTAATTTTAGACATTCTGATAAATATTTTGTGATATCACCTTGTGGTTTTAATCCCCTGCCCTATCTATTTTTACATTTTCATCTGTATCCCACAAAATTCCAGTACCTTTTTTTGTTTTAATTTTTAAGACTCTATAGAATATTGGACATGAACAATCATGTCACCTGAAAGTAAAGATAGTTTTTACTTCTTTTCCTGTCTGGACTCTTTTTAATTTATTTTTCTTGGCTTATTGCTCTGTTGAATAAAAGAGGTAAGACCAGACATCCTTTTCTTGTTCCAATCTTAGAGGGAAAGCATCCGTAGCTATGGGTTTTTCATAGGTGCACATTATCAGGTTGAAAAGTTCTTTTCTGTTTTGCTGAGAACCGTCATTAGGAATTTTGGGATTTTGTCATATGTCTTTTTTGGATTTATTGTGATCATAAGATTTTTCTTCTATAGTTTGTTAATATCATGAATTACATTGATTAATATTTGAGTGTTAAGCCATTCTTGCATTCCAGAGAATGCATTCCATGACCCATTTGCTCATGATATGTTATCTATTTTTATATAATTTTATTCAATTTATTAAAATTCTGTTTTAGAATTTTTGTGTGTTCATTAAGGGTCCATAGTTTTCTTTTCTTGTACCTGTGAGTTGGGAAGTATATTGTCCTCTTACATTTTTTGAAAGACTTGGTACAGAATTCTCTCTTTTTTTTTTTAATGTTTGGGAGACTTCACTAGTGAAGCCTTCTGGTCCTGGTTGGAAAAGTCTAACTATAATTCCTTGATAAAAATAGACTGTCTTGAGTGAATTTTGTATAGTAAGTGTGTTTCAGGGATTTTGTCAGTTTTATCCAAGTTGTTGAATTTATTGACATAAAGTTGTCTATACTATTACCTTATATGGTTAAATATTTGTAGAATGTGTAGTTAGTTATATCACTTCTCTCATTCCTGATGTGAGTAATATGCACCTTACCTCTTTTTTTTTCCTTAATTAGTCTGGCTAGAGGTTCATTTTGTCTTCCCAAGAACAGGATTCTGGTTTCATTAATTTTTGTTTTTCTGTTTTCTGCCTTACTGATTTCAGTTCTGATATTATTTTCAATCTTCCACGTGGCATTTCATTTGCTCTTTATAATTTTTTGAGTGGGAGCTGAGGTCATTGACATGGGATCTTTATCTTTTCTAATGTAGGTGTGTTAATGCTATAAATTTCCTCTAAGTGTTGCATTAACTACAACCCATAAATAGAGGAATGTACTTTTATTTTCACTCAGTTCAAAGTACTTTTTAATTTATTTTGTAATTTCTTCTTGTGACTGTCTATTATTTCATAGTTTCCAAACATTTATTTTGTTAATGATTTTCTAATTCAATTCCCATTTTGATCAGAGAACATAATTAGTGTGACTTTAAGACCTAAGTATATTGAGATTTTTTTTATGGCCCATAAATAAATATTGTCTATATTGGTAAATATTTCTTGTATACTTAAAAAGAATGTGTATGCCATTGTTTTTAGTTACGTTAGATGTGAGAGTAAATCAGGTCCATGTTATTTCATCTTTACTGAAAGTGGAAGTCAAATTCTTTTTTTATTCTTAGATATGCTTCACATATTCATAAAATTCATCCATTTTTAGTGTGCAATTTAGTGTTTTTTAATATAATCATAAGGTTGTACAGTCTTTACTACCAATTCTACTATATTTTCACTGCCTGAAAAGGAAGTCCATATCAATTACCATTCACTCCCATTCTAACTCTACCTGGCTGTTAGCAATCACTAATCTACTTTCCGTGTCTATAGATATGCCTATTCTGGACTTTTTATATAATTGGAATTATATAATATGAGGCCTTTCACACTGGCTTCTTTCACTTACCATAATGTTTCCAAGGATTAGCTGTGTGCATCATGTATCATTATTTCATTTGTGGCTGAATAATATTTCATTGTCTGGACATTTTGTTATGAGCAAATGGGCAGTCATTTTGTTTATTCATTAGTTAAATGTTTGGCTTGCTTCTCTCTGGCTCTTATAAATAATGCAGCTGTGGACTTTTGTGTAGAGGCATACCTTGTTTTATTGCACGTCACACATAACTGGGCTTTTTACAAATTGAAGGTTTGTGGCAACCCTGTTGAGCAAGTCCTTTTGTGCCATGTTTTCAACATCATTTGCTCATTTTGTGTCCTGTGTCACATTTTGGTAATTCTTGAAATATTTCAAACCTTTCAATGTATATAAAATTTTAATAAATATAAAAATTATTATATTTGTTATAGTGATCTGTGATCAATGATCTTTCCTGTTACTGTTGTAAGTTGTTTTGGGCTGCCACAAATCATGCCCATATAAGATGTTGAACTTAATAAATTTGTGTGTTCTGCCTGCTCCACCGACTGGCCGATCGATCTCTCCCTCTCTTCAGGCCTTGCTGTTCCTTGAGATGGAACAATATTGAAATTAGGCCAGTTAACCCTGCAATGGCCTCTAAGTGTTCAAGTGAAAGGAAGAGTCACACCTATCTCACTTTAAATCAAAAGCTAGAAGTCATGAAGTTTAGTGAGGAAGGCACGTTGAAGCCAAGATAGGCCAGAGCTAGGCCTCTTGCACCAGCTAGTCAAATTGTTGAATAGAAAGGAAAAGTTCTTGAAGGAACTTAAAAGTGCCACTACTACAGTGAACACATTAGTGATAAGAAAGTGAAACAGCCTTATTGCCATTATGAAGAAAATTTTAGTGATCTGGATCAAAACAGCCACAGCTGGTTCCCCTTGACTTCCCTTAACTCAAAGCCTGATCCAGAGCAAGGCCCTAACTCTCTTCAATTCTATGCGAAGGCTGAGAGAGGCGAGGAGGCTGCAGAAGCGAAGTTTGAAGCTCGGAGAGGCTGACTCAAGAGGTTTGAGGAGAGAGGCCACCTCCATGACAAAGAAGTCCGAGGTGAGGCGACAAGTGTGATGTGGAGGCTGCGGCCCGTTATCCAGCCGCGCCAAACAATAGACTTTCAGTGCAGATGAAACCGCCTTCTATTGGAAGAAGATGCCACCTAGGATATTCATGGCTAGAGAGGAGACAGCGCCCGGCTTCGAAGTGTCAAATGACAGGCTGACTCTCTTGTTAGAGACCAACGCAACTGGTGAAACCAGTGCACCTTTGTCATTCTGAAAAATTCTAGGACCCTTAACAATTATGCTAACTCCACTCTGTGCTCTGTGCACGAACAGTGACACCTGGGTGGCAGCTCATGTGTTTACAACATGGTTTACCGAATATCTTAAAGCCTACTGTTGACATTTACTGCTCAGAAAAAAGATTCCTTCCAAAATACTGGTGCTTGTCGTCAATGCACCTGGCCGCCCAGGAACTCTGATGGAGATGGACAGGATTAATATTGTTTTCATGTCTGCTAACATAACATCCATCTGCAGCCCATGGATTAAGGAGTCATTTCAACTATCAAGTCTTATTTATTAACCAATACATATTGTAAGGCTGTAGGTGCTGTAGCTAGTGATTCTAATGAATCTGAACAAAGTAAATGAAAAACCTTGTAGAAAGGATTCACCATTCTAGATGCCATTAAGAATATTAGTGATTGATGGGAAAAGGTCAAATGTCAACATTAGTAGGAGTTTGGAAGAAGATTCCAACCCTCACTTTGTTGGGGTTCAAGACATCAGTGAAGGAAATAACTGCAAATGTGGTGGAAACAGCACAAGAACTAGAATTAGAAGCGGAGCCTGAAGATGAGACTGAATTACTGCCATCTCATGATGAAACTGTCTGTGGATGAGGAGTTGATTCTTATGGGTGAGCAAAGAAAGTGTTTTATTGAGATGGAACCTACTCCCAGTGAGGATGCTGTGAAGATTATTGAATGACAGCAAAGAATTTATATTACATGTACTTAGCTGATAAAGCAGCAGCAGCTGGGTTTGAGAGGATTAACTTCAATTTTGAAAGAATTTTGGATAAAATGCCATCAAACAGCATTACAGAAATCATCTATGAAAGGAAAGTCAGTTCATGTGGCAAACATCACTTGTCTTATTTTCAGAAATTGCTGCAAGCACTTTAACCTTCAGCAACCACCACCTCTTTGGGTTAGCAGCCATCAACATTGAGAAAGTACCTCCACCAGCAAAAAGATTAGAACTTGCTGAAAGCTTGGATGATGGTTAGCATTTTTTAGCAATAAAGTATTTTTTAATTAAGGTATATACATTGTGTTTTTAGACATAATGCTGTTGCACACTTAGTAGAACATGGTATAGTGTAAAAGATAACTTTATATGTACTGGGAAACCAAAAAGTCCATTTGCCTTGCTTTATTGTTCTATTCGTTTTATTGCGGTGGTCTGGAACCAAACTCCAACGTCTCTGAGGTCTTCTCTACATGTTTTTGCTTCATGTGTTTCTCTTGGGTATATACCTTGTTAAGGAATTGCTGGGTCATAGAGTAACTCTGTTTCAGTTTTTGAGGTGCTGCCAAATTGTTTTCCAAATAGGTGCACTGTTTGGAATAATGTATATTCCTACCAGCAAGGTAGAAAGGTTCTAATTTTTTGACATCCTCACTAACTCATTATTTTCTGGTTTTGTTACATAAAAAAAATATATATTACAGTAGTGCGTGTGAAATGGTAATTCATTGTGGTTTTGGTTTTCATGAAGATCGATAGAAGTTTCCTTCTAAGAGTTTTATAGTTTTGGCTCTTATGATTAGACCTTTGATCATTTTCAGTTAAATTTTGTATACGGTGGAATTAGGCGTCCAAATTTATTCTTTTGCTTGTGTTATGTTAGTTAGCCTAGCACCATTTGTTGAAAAGACTATTCTTTCCTCATAAAATGGTCTTGGACCACTTGTCAAAAATTACTTGACCACAGATTAAAGGGTTTATTTTTGGACTCTCATTCCATTTCATTGATTCATATGTCTGTGATCATGATGATAACACATAGCTATAATTACTATAGTTCTGTAGTAAGTTTTTCTAATTCCTTTTTGGATCACCTGGTTTTATCTCAGGATATAAAATTAATTAAAATAAATTTAAACAATAAAAGAAATGCTCAGACATTTCATTGTGAATTTACAGAACATTTTTGTTTGCTAAATGGAAGTCAGTATGCATTTTCAGCATGATAATAGCCTCATTAGGACATAAATTTTGAATCATCAATTAAGTGGAAGATACTTGTTTTTGTGTCTAGTTTTCTTAAATTTGTTATTCTCTGCTTTCTTTTTAGGTTAATACAATCTGCTGGAATGAAACTGGAGAATATATTCTATCTGGCTCTGATGACACCAAGTTAGTAATTAGTAATCCTTACAGCAGAAAGGTAAAGTGGTTAAAAAAAATCTGTAATTTAATGATAGAAAAAAAATCAAGAAATTATAATCATGGAGGGGGCATTTGTAACAGAATCCTTATTTTGCTAATTTTCATTATGTAATTTGGAAGTTACTACATTCAGATCCCTTAGTTTCTTAAGGAAAATTCAGCTTAGATTTTGTTAAGCTTTTTTGACTCTAGAATATTTAAATATGCTTCATTTTATCCACATGGATAAAATTATCAAAAGTGGCACTATCTCAGTAAGCAATTCTTTGGGGGACACAAAGACAATGTGATTATTTTTCTTTTATGTTCATAAAATCTAATCTTCAGCCAAGCAGTTTCAGAAACTAGATTTTGTCAGTTTACAGATAGTGGCCCGATCCTAGTGAAATGCTCAATGACATCCATGTCAATAAACTGGGTATCATATTGAGTTTTAATTAGGATTGTGTTGTGATTTTTATTGGCCCTTCTTTTAACTGCTTATATAGAGGAAATACACAGCGGCTTATATCAGAACATGTTATTGGCAGACCAGAGTCTTAATATTAGCAATATTATGGAATAAATTATGTGCTGCTTATTTTTAGTGATTTAAACAATTAAGATATTTAAATAAATGTTTGTGGTCCTAAAGCCTAAAAAGAGGTTCATATTGAGGCTATCCTTGATTAAATGATAGGTCATAACTATATTGCAGAGGTAACTTTACTTAATTTGTCCTGACTTGGCAGAGGGAAAATTGCTGTTTTCGAATCCTACTTGTTTTAGGTCTGGAATTACTAGAATAACCTTGTATTTACAATAGAGAAAATTTCTTTGAATACTGTATATGTGGGATGCCTTTTGATTTTCACTATCAGATTTTTAATACTTAGTGACTCAAAGTGTTTATCTATATACCAATAGAATAATGTTTAGAAAAGATGCAGAGCCTCACTGTTTTTTTTAGTTGTGGTAAAGTGCATGTAACATAAACCATCTTAACTGTAAGAGTTCAGTTCAGTGATGTAAAGTACATTCACATTATTGTGATACCGTCCCCGCCATCCAGCTACAGAGCTTTTCACATCTTGCAAAACGGAAACTCTGGACCCATTACACAGTAACTCCTCATTCTCCCCTCCCCCAGCCCTGATCACCACCTTTCTGCTTTCTGTCTCTGTGAATCTGACTACACTGGGTACCTCATATAAGAGTTTACGCAGTATCTGTCCTTCTGTGACTGTCTGTTTCACTCAGCTTACTGTCCTGAAGGGTGAGCCATGGCGCAGCTAGTGTCAGGATTGCTTCCCTTTTAAGGCTGAATTATATTCTGATGGATGTCTAGACCACATTTTGTTCATCCAGTCATCTGTCAGTGGACACTTGGATTATGTTTACCTTATGGCTATTGTGAATAAATGCTGCTATGAACATAGATGTAGAAATATCCCTTGAAGTCCCTGCTTTCAATTATTTTTTGACTATACCCAGTGGAATAATTTTTAATGATCTGATTTCTCCTTTGCTTGCTTATTTTTTAAAAAATGATATTCACCTGGATGCATGGTTCCCAATAGAGTATGTATATTTGAAAAGTGATTATTATTCCTCATTTGTAGGTTGAGAAATGATTAATCTGTTAATACTCCTAGAATTTAAGTATAACTGTCTTTTTCACAAAGGACTTTAATAGATCTAAATTTGCTATCTCATAGGAGCTTTTTAAAAAATTTTAAAACATTGCTGATTCATAGGAAAATAAAGTTTTTTGATTTTGAGTCAAATATTACTTGTTCTTACAGTTTGACTATTTTTAGAAACTGTGCATTCATGGGAAGATGAGTTTATTCCAAATAAATTAAGCACTTTTTAAAAACAGATTTAAGAGATTGGAGCTGTTCCTTATTAATAGTGTCGTATCTTAATTGTGTATATCATAGATCTCAAATATATAAAAAAGAAGTTTCTCTTTCCAAAAATTACAGGCTGATTTATTTGGATCAGTCCTCCTGCTGAGAACAACTAAAAAATGCTTGTTTAAATAACAAAAAATTGTCCTAAAAGTAACAAATAACTGCCTTGATAGTAAGTAAGTATCAGTCCATAATGGAGGGGAAAAGGTGAATCTAGAGAAGTGAGCATGAAATATACTGTCACTGTGGAGATATTCGTCAATATTAGCACATACAAACTTTAGTTTAGATGGCCTTGAGTGTCAAGGTAGACAGAAGCAAAGCTGAGGACCTGATTCAGGTATGGTTCCTATAAAAGACTCTCCACAATACACTGGGCCCCAAAGGGCAACATCCTTAAGTTATAGATGAAACAGAAGGAAGTTAGCCCTCATTGAAAGGAAAAGAAGGGACGTGAACTCCACAGTCCGAGCAGGTTTATTGCTAAACCTGATAGGGACCTCTCTGTTCTGGCGAGCAGAACAAGGAAAAAGGAGTCTCTTATAAGCCAAGAAGCTTTTTATGGCTGGGTTTTTGGCAGTCTTTTGGAGGAGATGGGTCAGGGAATAGGTGGGCGGTGGCTTGCTGACGTGTCCTCCACAGAATGCTTGTAGCCCAGGTAAGATGAAAACTAGGTCTCTCTGAGATGGTGGATGGGCTTATTCAAAAAGGCAGTACTCCCATCCGGATTCTATCACTCAGGTTACTCTACAGCATCTTCTGTAGAAGATATCCTAAGTGTATTGTGTTTGCAAAGTTTTTCTTGATTTGGCCTCAGCCTTCTACCTATAGTTCTCAGAGCATAAAATGTTGTTTCTTTATTCTATGCTTTTGTTTGGATTCTTGTCTCTTTGTGGATATTCTGTTTTCCCAGGTACCTCCTAGGTACTTGGCAGATTTAATTTCCTCCTTCAAGTATCAGCTCTTACCTGTGATGCACCTACAGTTTCCCTAGGCAGATGTAGACATCTTTCCTGTATGATCCCACTGTACTTTGTAGATAACTCAATTATTATGTTTGTTTGCATGTTACCATTAGACTATGAATTCTGTGGGATAATGACATTTATTTTTCCTTTTTGTTTCTTTAGCACTTAGTAAATTACCTGCCATGTAGTAGGTACCTAATAAATATTATAAAAAGAAAGGTAAGACATTTCTATGTTCATTTTCTTAGACAGGGATATGGGTTGGGTTCGGAGATGGATGATTTTTACGAAGAGGTTGAACAACCAATATCTTCTACCTGGATAATCTTGGACCAAGCTTGAAGTTTGGAAGTGCTGTATTTGGCATGATGAAGATGGAAAGAGATACCTGCTTGGCTAGCTAGCTTAGTCAAAGTAACTTAATGATCAGAAAGGGATAGCTGTTACAACTAGTTGTCCTTCACATTTATTACTAATTGCAGTTATTTATATGTCATTTTCATCTTAGTTTAAGTTATTCTGCCAACTTCTAACTCTCTGGGCAATTATTCTTAGATGTTTTCTGTGTAACAAAGCAAAACAGAAGTAATAAAATAGCAGTAGACTCATAGACACCGAGAAGGGACTAGTGGTGATCAATGGAAAGGGTTAGGGTGGGACGGTGAAGGCAATAAAGGGGCACAGTAATGTGCAGTCACAATGTAAGTTTGTCACAGGGACAACAGTACAGCATGAAGAATACAGTTAATGGTTCTATAACATTTTACTATGTTGTTAGATGGTGACCGCACTAGAGGGGGTGAGGATTTAATAATATGGGTAACTGCCGAACCACTGTGTTGTATATTTGAAACCAACATAAGATTGTATATCAATGATACTTTAACCAAAAAAAATTGATTGCAAGGCAAAAAAAAAAAAGAACTGTAATATATTGATCCAAAGCACAAAGAAGACAGTAAATACAACTACCAGAAATTACCGTTGTTGGTAAGACACATCATTTTTTAATGAAGCTTATTGCTATTTTCCTCCAGTAGCATACACACCTGTACTGGTTGTATGGATTCAGTTTCAACAGTTAACCCTTATTGAAGTTACTAGCTGTATACACATGAGTACTGTTCTAACAACAATTAGCTATTAATAAATTAGGGAGGGGATAGTATAAAAATTTGAGTGGGAGCTGAGGTCATTGACATGGGATCTTTATCTTTTCTAATGTAGGTGTGTTAATGCTATAAATTTCCTCTAAGTGTTGCATTAACTACAACCCATAAATAGAGGAATGTACTTTTATTTTCACTCAGTTCAAAGTACTTTTTAATTTATTTTGTAATTTCTTCTTGTGACTGTCTATTATTTCATAGTTTCCAAACATTTATTTTGTTAATGATTTTCTAATTCAATTCCCATTTTGATCAGAGAACATAATTAGTGTGACTTTAAGACCTAAGTATATTGAGATTTTTTTTATGGCCCATAAATAAATATTGTCTATATTGGTAAATATTTCTTGTATACTTAAAAAGAATGTGTATGCCATTGTTTTTAGTTACGTTAGATGTGAGAGTAAATCAGGTCCATGTTATTTCATCTTTACTGAAAGTGGAAGTCAAATTCTTTTTTTATTCTTAGATATGCTTCACATATTCATAAAATTCATCCATTTTTAGTGTGCAATTTAGTGTTTTTTAATATAATCATAAGGTTGTACAGTCTTTACTACCAATTCTACTATATTTTCACTGCCTGAAAAGAAAGTCCATATCAATTACCATTCACTCCCATTCTAACTCTACCTGGCTGTTAGCAATCACTAATCTACTTTCCGTGTCTATAGATATGCCTATTCTGGACTTTTTATATAATTGGAATTATATAATATGAGGCCTTTCACACTGGCTTCTTTCACTTACCATAATGTTTCCAAGGATTAGCTGTGTGCATCATGTATCATTATTTCATTTGTGGCTGAATAATATTTCATTGTCTGGACATTTTGTTATGAGCAAATGGGCAGTCATTTTGTTTATTCATTAGTTAAATGTTTGGCTTGCTTCTCTCTGGCTCTTATAAATAATGCAGCTGTGGACTTTTGTGTAGAGGCATACCTTGTTTTATTGCACGTCACA